TGAAATTTTATATCGTGTGCTTAGACCAGAGGTGGGCACTCACTATCACATACATGCGCTTGTGTGCGAAGCAGCGAAGTTTTGCTCAACAGCCAGTGCTCGGATGTTCCCACATTTGTGGAATAGATAACACTTTTTTTTGCTAAATTACATTTCTACTACTTCTACCACCGTAAGCTAAAAAACTTTCAGATCTTGAAACTTCTTTTTTTAATTTGTTCATTTGCGCATTAATGAATGGGTATTTTCTACAACAAAAAACAACATTGCTTGCTGCGACGTCGACACATTGATGATATGATCAGTGTTGCCGTTTTAGCACTTTGGTGGCTAGATTTAGCTACCACATACTTTTTGTGGCCACGTAAATTTAAAATTGCCCCTAGCCCTTTTTTAGCCTTTAAAAGAATTTATTCATACATGTCGTGAAAAAGTTGTATATGCTTAATTTGGTTTCATTTTTCTCATTTAAGTAGGAGATGAATTGATGTATTGTGGAACGATTTTCCGTCATCCCTTGTCAAATTTGGTTTGGAGACAAACCGGTTTCGGCGTTGTGCCATCTTCAGTGTCATTTTTCGTTCGACAACAATACATCATACTCCTACCCTGTCGGAAACACAAACAACCAAAAAAAAAAGAGGAGATGAATTTTTAAACTAAGAAATATACATATATATATTGTATGTTCCTTACGTTTTTATACATACATACTGCAATATAGTTCCTTAATATGCTTAATTTGTTAAATGGCCCATCATGTCGATTGACCGTGTATGTTTTTGTGGTGTGATTGTACCAGCTGCTGGTGCGACTTCAAAAAGTATTTGAAAATTTTATGATCGTACCAGCATGCTGGTGTCGTTAGTGGTGAAATTAGCTAAATTTTCTAAGTAAAGAGTATTTGGGCGGAAATTTCCTGCACTATATCAGTCAAAGCCGTGTTTGTGGAAGATTAAGTTCGCGATATTGCAGTTGTGAATTAAAACAAAAAAACAATGTTTAACAAAATGGTAGAAAATTTGTGAAATTTCGGCTCTAATCATTTCGATCTTTCTTCGACCTCATTTGTAAATAAATAAATATTGTTAAAGTTATTGCTTCGAGCCTGATGGTACAATCACTTGATGGAGCCAGCAAGTTGGTGTCGTATATTTCCCCTTTTATACAAAAAGGTTTAGCTTTTTACCCAGTGTTCATTGTTTTTCTATACCATTGCTTATTTAAAATGTTTGCGTGTATACTTATATATGTATATGTAAGTAAAAAATTTTAGCTACCATTTTTAGCCACAACGACTTTTTTTAGCTCTTTTTAGCCCTTTTATAAAGGAATTTGGCTACCACTAAAAAAGCTTCGCGGCAACACTGGATAAGATCGTCTTCGTGCGTCTTACGATAATTGACGATTGACTGATGCTTTGCTAGCACTTCGGCAAAGCAAATCAAATCAGTTGCTGCTGAGACTTCCTTGCGAAACTATTCAAATACATTTTTCTTGCATAGAAAACATGGATGAGTGTGCGCAATGCGCGATTTGTTTTCGCGTTATGAGTCACAATGTTATGTCTTGTTTAAAAAGACATTACAAACTGTGTCATAGTCGTTTTGAAAAGGTGAAAGAGGGTGAGCGAAGAAGCTTTTCGAAAAAAAAGCAGCGTTCTTCATTCAATTTAGGGTTGGTGAAAGTAATATACATCAGCACGAAAATTACACATATGGGCATTCACATGGTGGCGCACGTGACAGTCGTACGATTTCAATGTGATACAAAAAAGGAATACCATTTGTTTTCTTTAACTTTTTTGGGCCATTGTATAGCACATAATTAGCTCTATATTTAACCGAAAAATGAAATCAATCGAACTGCTTGGTCCTGAAATATAAGCATTTAAAGAGAGTGTCGTTACGTGACAAAAAATGGAAGTTGATTTTTTCTTTTCTTACAAAATGGCAAAACTCTGCGAATTGTGGATGGCTATTTTCATGTAACTTATTTTAATATGATTTGGAGCAATTCTAGTTGTTTTTAGAGTTTTTTGAATTAATGCAAATTGTTTCAATTCTCTTTTACAACCCCAAGTGTGAAACGTGACGTAACGTGGCGTCACGTGACATAAATTTCCATCGTTATATTTTTGTTAATATTGCTTTTAAATGAATTTTTAACGCAAATAAAACATGTATTTTATGTAGAATATACTTTATATTTTGACTTCAGCGCCAATTCAGGGTCAATTTATTAGAAATCTATGATTTATTATGTTTCAACCACATACGCCAAATTCGAACCAAATTAGACCATAAATACGGTTTTTCGAAATATCTCGACCTTGGCACCACCTAGGAAGACCATTTTATGCAAAGATGATTCTACTTACATAGCCAGTATATATTTTAAAAAGCAGACAAATCGGCCCGTAAATACGTTAGATATAAAACTTTTATTTTTTTTGTCGTGGTGGACCTTCCGCTGGAAACACCCATATGTTAGTGTTTGGCCGAGCTTCTCCTCCGACTTGTGGCGTGCGCCTCGATGTTGTCACACAAAGCGGAGGCACCTACAGTTTTACGCCGACTCCGTACGGCGATTTTATTTTTATGAGAAGCTGTTTTTCATGGCAGAAAAACACTCGGAGGTTTGCCATTGCCTGCCGAGGGACGACCGCTGTTAAGAAAAAACCTTTTTTTTTATTTTTTTTGCGATGTTGCTTTGACCAGGGTCTGAACCCAGGTGCTGCGGAGTGGAAGCGCGCAATGCTTACCACTACACCACAGCGGCCGAAAATTATCAATATCTATCATAAAATGATTCTCTATCAAAAAATGATAGATCATTTCTAAAAAAAAGGCATCTTATTCTGTCGCTTTGGCTTTTTATTTAGAATTTCTAGAAAAGTTTTACGTATGCAGTTTTATAGCCCATTAAAATTTAGTAGCTCAAAGTGCAAATTTCGAGCGCTAAGAAATCGTGTTAACTTTCAATGATTGGCATTTTCTTTTATATGGAAGAAAATGACTAGCACCGTCAGCAAAAAAAAGATAAACAATAAATAAACAAAAAATGTAAATAGCCAAAGCTGGTCAACATGTCACTTAACTTAATCAGCTGACCATAAGTACATATAAAATATTTAAACATTTATTTATTTTAATCTACCACATTGTTTTGGAATGTACCACAATTTTTCTGCTTATATACCACTAAGAAAACTTTTTGGCGTCCGAACACTCTCAACAGCAACTGATTTGATTTGCTTTGCCGAAATACCAGCGAAGCATCAGTCAATCGTCAATTATCGTAAGACACACGAAGGCGATGATAGTATACATGTGTCGACGTCGCAGCAAGCAGCATTTTGAAGCCCAATTACATGTGTTTGGAAAATCAAAAAATGCCTGCCTCTGGCTTAGACCTAAAATTTCTATTGCGCAAGCTATTTTGAGATCCATTTTAAGCGGTTGATTTCATCACTTTATATATCCATTTAAGTCTATTACATGCGCCCAACGTTGTTCATATTAAATCTCCTCAAATTGTTCGCATTTACTATTGTTAAAATTTAAAATAAAACTTATCAAGACAAATTCTATGAGTCTATAAAAAATTATTTTCTACTTTTTGATATATTAAAATATTTTACCTCCGTTTTTTTAATTAACTCTTTACTACCGTGCATTTGCGCAAAGCGACATAATTTAGTAGGAAGAAAAGTTTTGCGCCTAAGGGTATGCAATGCGTATTAACGGCGAGTTTATTTCATTTATCACCATTGAATAAATGGTCAGACCAACGAACTAAAGATAATCACAACTTGGCATCGAAAATATAAGATGTAACTAGATTAAAATGTGGTTTACCTTTTCAAAAGTAGCAGCAAAGCCTTCGCGGTCGCATGTAAACGGCATTTGATGTACAAGCGCATACTTGTCTGTCATATTATTTACCATATCAAGGAGAGTATCATTCTTCACTGAAACAAAAATAAGACAACTCGATGTCTATATGCGTGGTTTTTAATATTATAGGTAAATTACTTTTAATGCCGCTATCCGATATCATAATCAGCTCATATTTAGCAGCTGCATAACCAGGCTGCATATTATTAATTTTTGGATTAATACCAACCTTCGAACCACCCATGTACAATGAGGCGTCCACTTGAGGATATTTCGTCATTAAACTTTGTACAATATTAATAGCTGGGTCAACGCTATCTTCTATACAAAATAACAACTCATACTAAAAGATGAAAAATATTACACTTTCATTTGCGATACATGCTGTATTTGAAACATACCATTGGGTAATCCATTATAAAAAATGACTCAAGATTATGCTCCAAATTTGGGTCAGTTCCCATGAGTGGTTTTAGAATAGATACTGCAGGCAGCGGGGTTTCATTTGGATAATTGCACGATTTCTTGTGAAGTTTAAATTTTCTATAAAGATAAAAGAGACAGTTTTTAAAAGCAATAGTAGTTACTGAAGTCGCCAAGGTTTACTAAAAAAAAATTCCGCTTTAAGTAAAAACCCAAGTATTAGAACTAAATATAGTATAATAATGCTAAAATTACATACACAAAAAACCCGGAGACTCGAAAACTTAATTTTGGATCGTAGATTATGAATCTGGATACCGTTTTTATATATAAGGTAATTTTCTCCAAGATATTCTCATTTTAAGTTTAGTTTAAATTTTCAAAGGGAAAAAATTATGCAAGTAAAAAAGTCTATGCTCGCCGTTTTGTCTGCACAGACGTCTGTGTAAAATCCAAATATGTTAATTTTTGTTGCCGATGCACAAACCGTGTGTGTTATGGGTGGTGAAATTTCGTTACACTTGATTAATTTTTATGGTGTAGACGTGCGCGGAGAAAAATGGAGAAAACTAAGCAATTTCTGTTGAAATTCTTTAAAATGTGAAATTGGTTTTAAAGTCTGTATGGTGTATGGCGAATTGTGTTGTCTTATAAGCAGGGGGCCTTTACCCCTATTTCAAACATTTTCGATATTACGGGCAGTTAGACTTACACATATGTTAGTGTTTGGCCGAGCTTCTCCTCCGATTTGTGGCGTACGCCTTGATGTTGTCACACAAAAGGGACAGTTTTACGCCGACTCCGAACGGCGATTGCATTTTTATGAGAAGCTGTAAAATAGCAAAAATACACTCGGAGGTTTGCCTTTGCCTGCCGAGGGGCGATCGCTGTTAAGAAAATTTGTTTTCTATTTTGTTTTGCGATTTCGCTTTGATCAGGCTTGAACCTAGGCCCTTATAACTTATATAGTTATACATAAGTTGGCGGTACACCGCCTGTTTTCCAAAATTCCATAAAAATGTTATTTGAGTAAATTAGCGTCCTTAAATTTCGAAGTTTCCGCATTTCTAAAATTTACCGTTATACGAAAAATGGGCGTAATTTTAGTCCCATTTAAAAAAATCGTATATATTGCTTTTCTGTGTCAAGTACAATAATTGTATCTAGTATGGTACCAATTATCCAATAATTGTATCTAGTGTGATACCAATTGAACGGTTACCGGGATCCACATATGTATGTATGTGGTCATAAGTGGGTGAGTCACGCCCATTAAAAAAAAAAAAATATTATAATCGTATTTTCTGCTAAAGAAATATTCCAAACGTCCACTTTGAGTAAATTAGCTTTAAAAAATGCGATTTAAAAAATTTCCAACCGTTATATTTTGCCAAGGTCAACAACTGCGCCAGGTTTGGTAGAAATTGGTAGAGCGGTTACCGAGATATATAAATGTAACCATAAGTGGGAGTGGCTACGGCCATTTTCCTTTCCAAAAAAGTATAATATTCATATTTCCCCCAAGTTAAGTAGTTACTAAAATATCGCAATTTTGTATTTCTGCAAACTACCTTTATATGAGAGGTAGGGGTGGTTATCGCGCTATTTTACCCATTTTCAATACACGCACCAAGTTTCGTTAACATATCGCAGTTTTTTCTCGAGTGCACAGACGGACCGAGGCACGAACGGACAGACAGACATGGTTTAATCGATTTCTCTTTTCGTTCTGAGTATTTTGATATATACAGGGTGTCCTAGACCACACGTACATCCCCTTTAAAATGGAGGAAATGTTTTATATTGAAAACCCGCAAAAATTTTACCTACTAAATCCGGGAGTGGTATTACCGACTTCCGGTTTCGACCAAATATATATAAATCCCAAGTTTTTATAATCACCCTGCGTAAATCCCATATTTGAGTCCGACAGAAAACTTAAGGAAGTGTGTGAAAATGCCACTGTTCAATTGCGAAAATTCATCCAATCGCATGCAAGACCTTGGGCATGGCGTTGGGGAAACCCGGTACGCAATCTCAGCGGATTTCATCAAAAACTGTGCAAAAGTATCCCAATATGGCCATAAAAGGTAAATATTAAAATTAGTTCTGGCCAATTTATTAAGTCAAACAAATGGTAAAATTTTCTATCGGGTGCAAAACTGGTTGCTACTTTTTTTACAATTTTCTTTTTTATCTGCTTGTATTAATTATTGTTTTTATGGCTTTCTGATGGAATAAACATTGGAAATGTGAAATCCGAAACTAGATTACAAAAGTCTTCATATATTGCGAATATATCGCAGGAAAATTCATATTATGTATTACTGTCCCGGTTTTGCCATCAGTGTATGTCTATATCTATCTCGATTCCTTTAAGCTGTTTTAAACAACCGTTATGTTAATTAGAGGTTTACCCAGACAGGCTTTGCGGCGGCGGTGCACAGTGTATCGACTATATGGAGGCAGGTGAAAAAAGTCATAGTGACAGTTGATGAAAGAAACGGTTCGGTATAGAGAAGGAAAAGTTAAAGTCATAAAAACAAAATTTCACATCATTTACTCATTTCCCCTCTCTACGAACGACACATTTCCAAAAAAAATGTACAGGAATCGGCGCGATACCGACTAAACTAATCAGTTTAGTTGTCTTTGGCGCTGAACCCATTAAAGCAAGCGTTTCTTTTTCAACTGTTATCAATTGTTTCGTGTCATGGAATATTCAGGTGAAGGTATCTATTATTTGGTATTTTGCTTTTTTTATAAAAAAATTTACAAGAAAATGTAGATGCTAAAGATTATTATTAAAAATATAAGTGACTAGATCGCCCTCACCCGCTTCGCTGAGTGTAAGACATTTCTACGTGATACATTGAGTAAAATTTATTTCAAGAAGACTCAATTAAAAAACAGAAGGTTTAAAATTTGTTTTAAAATATTTTCAAACAAAAACTTTCTTAAACTTCTCACTTGTCATACTTTTTCAATTAACTTATTCCCTGAACTCAATTTGAGATTTTAAACAGGTGGAAACCTCTTACGTGTAGTTTTGAAATGAAGCCCATTAATTTCGGGACACCTACTTCAGACGTCCCAAGGATGGTTATAGGCTGAAAAAATTTCGACATATAAAGGCGTGGCACCTCCTATACAAGCCGATTTTTCTTACTGTATATCTCTGGAAGTGTTCATGGTAGAATACCGGAACTTGGTACACCAATATATCAAATCAATCTTATAGTCATGGAGAAAAATCTGAAATCACCATCGAGAAATCAACCGGCAGAACCATTGAGCGCCTTTTACTGTAATATTTAATTTTTGAATTTAATTTTTAAAAAGGTGGCAGCCCTTGCGAAAGATTTAAATCTTATTCAAAACTTTTAAACTAAAGGTTTCTTAACAGTATGTATTTGGTTAGACAACCATATTTTGATTCTTGAGATAGCTTGCGTATAATTAATTTAAATTTGACTTTTCAAATAGGTGGCAACCCTTTTCAAAATATATTCGAACTACAGCTTTTTAAGCCTCGTGACATCCATTTTTAACCAACTTCCAAACAAGGAGGAGGTTATCAGTTCGTCGGAATATTTTATTTTTTTTTTTTATGTATGTTACCGCATAACCGATTTCGATAATTTTTTTTGCATCGAAAAGGTAGTGTCTCAGAGGTGGTCCCATACTGATCTGGCTAAGATCCGATCAGTGGATCATGAGATATATATATATATATATATATATATATTTTTATATGAGAGGTGAAGTCGGTTTTTTTTGCTAAAAATTACTTGTTTAATACAAATTTCAAATAAATAACTCTCTAAATTACAGTTGAATTTGATTTTTTTTTAAAAGGTGGCAGCTCTTCTCCATACCAAGGTCCAGTAATCTATCAAAAATATTTCCCGAGAAATGCAGTATGAAATATTCCGTTTGTATGGGAGGTGCCACGCCCCCTTGTCTAATCGAGATTAAATTTATCCTATATTTTAAGGTGGGCTAAATAACAGCAGTGTACAAAATTTCATGATGATCGGTTGAGTAGTTAAAGAGTGAAAGCGTAGCAAACAAACAAACTCACTTACGGATTTATAATATTAGTAAGGATTACCGATGGAATTTAATGTTACCGCCCATTAGAGTGGAGGGCGTGGCAATTATCCCATCTTTACCACATTTCATAATTCCTTATTTCTAAGTAAAAAATTGAGCGCATGTAAAGTTTTAGCGGTGCAGGTTAACTATTATTTCCACCTGCCTCCATATAGTCGAAGCACTGCGCGGCGTGGTCAACTTCAAAACGAATCGGCGGCGGCGGCGACGCCGGCGCTACTGCCCATAAGGTTGATTCCAAAGAGCCATGAGGCTACTGATCTTATCATGTCACCTCATCAACGTTAGGCATTCGCCATGCCAATTCGGATAATACTACTTAATTAGTTCTTGAATTAGTTTTAAATTTAAATATTCTTAATTCCTACTTGAGTGCCTGGCGCTGATGGATGGGCGAACAGAAGAAGGTCTGAGGAACATACATACATACACACATACATGGTTCTCTATGTTGTATACAGATCCTTATGTACTATTTAAATTTAAAGAAATAAAAAAAATTTAAAGTTAAGTAAATTTTTGTAATAATCTTATCTACCGTTATGTTATATTACAGAGTTCTTACGATTTTTTGCGGGTTTTAGATCCAAAACAAGGGTGGTATATTTTTTTCCAACAGTTTAACTTATCAACTCCCACCAGAACGGGCCTTTTTGGCCCACTGTATAAAAAATGGATTATGGATGGTTAAAATTTCCACTAAAATATTAAGCGCAAAATTTTACTGGGGTTAACCGAACGCAATGAAAAATAATACTAATTTTCAATTGAAATAAATATAATTTGGCAATGTGGTTCGAAATTAGCCACTCGATAAATTGCATTTGTAACTAGCTGGATGTTTTTCGTCAATATAAATATTAAAAACAAAACTGCATTCAAACTTCTTCATTAAACCCCCAAAATGAAAAGTGACCCCTTATGACCCATCAGTCGTCAAGGGTTCAGGTTTTTTTTTGCTAAAATGTGGGAAATCGAATTCCAATCAAAAAGAAAATAATTTT